TTTTTCTCCAAAAAGGGAGATGGCTTTAAAGTCATTTGAACTGCATAATACTGGGAGTAAAGAAGACCAGTCAGCTACAGACACAGGTTCCAGCAGAGAAAATCTTCAAAGAGCTAGGATGAACTCCAGTGATTTTATGGTAGTTTGAAGCAAAACAGTCTTACTGTTTCTGGAAAAGGAGTAAGGACTTGAAACCTACAGAAGGTAATGTTCCCTGTTCTGTTAGACTGTTGTCTCTTCTCAAAGTGAAAGCTGATTTTTCCCAAGCTGGTCAATGAATGAAAGGACAGTGTGGCAGAGGCACTTCTCAATCACCAGCAACCATGCCAAGCATGAGACAATGGTTTTCTCTTAGTCCACGTTACAGTTCTCTTCCCTCCGTGCAACTACCAGTTTTCTTCATGTCATCCCTAAAAGTGATTAATCCGTTCCTAATAATGCATTATTCTGGAGAACTGTAATTAGGAGGATGGTAGGTGTCCCATGGACACTCCTTTTCTCCTCCCTTTCCCCTCCCCCCAGTTTTCATCATCTCAAAATGGCATTAATTGCAGTAATGTATGCATGTGCCAGAGGCCTTCCTCACTATTCCTTTTGTCTCAGAGCTGAAAGGCATTAATCCTGGGTGGGGAACCTCACACCTCCCCAAGAGCATTGAGCTGGCCAAGATCAGCTTATGACTGAGGTCAGTTGATGGAGACTGACCAACTCACGTGAAGGGTGCTACAAAGTCACTGCCTGCAATAGCAGGGACTTAACTGCAGGATCCAGAAAAATTTTGCCAGTTCTGTCTGTTCAAGCAAAAGTCTCAATGACTTTGCAGATTTTTAATGAGTGAAGATGTTGTAACCAAACCTGCTACCCAGAAAGCCAGAGTACACCAGAAATGGTTGCACATCCTTTCTCCCCCCCAAAACAGCCTCATTAGGACTCAAGTTTTAATAGTGCTGGCAGGTTACACCAGGGAGTGAGGGAAGGAGTCATTGAAGACAAGGTGCACCCTATTAAAATGGAAATATTAAACCACTACAGAGCTGACTACAGTGGTAGCCACTGATAAAGCTTCATCCTTCAGAAAAGAAGGAGCTATCTCCTAAAAATGGGCTTAAGGGCTTTACTGGCTCAGTGTTCAGCCTCACGCCGAACGTGTCTGAACCCTGCTAAAGAAACAGGAATAACTTGCTTTCCACAGTCAAAACTTGTAATTTCTTACCCTTTTTGTTATGCAATTGAATTTTACATCCCATTCCAGATGACAAAACCTCATCCTCAAATTATGTATAAAGTAACAAAACCCCTTCACGCAGATCTTCTTTCTGTTTATCTTAGAGGAAATCCGTGGCAGTACCTGTGTTGGTTTATGAGAGGAGACAGAAGTGTAAACTCATATTTTATGATGAAAATGACAACAGGAGTGACCTTGCTCCAGCAGATATTGCCTTTTCAACATTGTCTAGAGGAGATAATCTAACAGCAGTCTGCAAAGCATCAAGTTTCCTCAGGCCCAGGTACAGTCATTCAATCATGAGCACAGTGAATTAGATGAAAAATAAGGAAAAGAGCCTTCTGGGACTGAGTGATTGCAATGAATGTTGCCTCCTGACAGCAGGCATTACATTGTCCTCTTGAGAGAGAGGTTACCTTTTATTATAGCAAACTACTCTCCTTTTAGTCTGTGCCAGGTAGCACTGGTATTAAGCACAGTCTTCAGGACAGCAAAAAAGTCCTTTAGGACACTTAGATGCTGCCTCTAAAGTACCAATCCAATCTTGACCTTTGGGATCAAATGAGCAATGCCAGACTTTTCTTGTTGTTTATATATATATATATATATATACATACACACTTATATATATATATATAGGTATAGGTATATATATGTATACATAAAATTTCCTTTCCATTGCCTTTCTTTTAAGTATCACAGAGAGCTTTACAAACAGTCATTGCTTAATCAAATCTTACAAACCTGGCCACCTATTTCAGGGAGGTTAAGCTGAACCACAGTCATGTCTGTGCCTCTAAACTCAGTGAAGTCTGCAGCAGAAGATAATACACAAGTCAGTAAAAGGGGCAGAATGAACCTGAGCTATGGTGGGGGATAGTCTCAGTGTCAGTACAGACATTGTATTCAAGCCATAAATATTTGCCCATTAATTTGTCCTGGGGACAGCTGAGAAAATGAAATTTTTGAAATTATTACAGGCTCGGTCAGAGTAAAATATTTTGTGTTTAGCTACCTTTGAAGATACATATGGGTGTGACATACATTAGTTACTGACACAAACACACACCTTTGTAAGCAGTCACAGGGTCACAGCAAGACCTGGATGCTTTTGTACAATGCAGAGTGAGAAGAAAGCACCAAGCAGCAACAGGTAGTGTCTCCCACTGTCTGCTCATTAACATCGACTCCAACTGTGATTTTTTTGGGCAAGCAGAGATGACAGAAACCTCTTGGCAGAAATCCTTGGGTAGCAGAGGTTGTAAGACAAACAGTTGTCCACTCAGGTGGGCTGCTGCTGCTCCACCTGTTTGATCAACCGCAAGATAAACTCCTTGATATGTTCTCATTCAAGTAGCTTTTCCAGCTATGCATTTTATGTGGGTATGATTAAGTGGGATTTCCTGCTAATCGAGAATATACTAGAGTATATCTTTTATTGCTTATGAGCAATAAAATAATACCCTGAGAAAATGAGGCAAGGCCAAGCTCTAGCTAAGCAGCCTGAGGAGCCATGGAGAAGGAAATCTCCTATAAGTGGATCCCAGTGATTTTTCTATCAAACCTCAACAGCTCTTCCTTAGTTGTATGATCAAAGTCTGACAGGATGGTTACTTATATCCAGAAGTCAGCATTTCAGCCAGAGAGATGTTTCCACTGACCTGACTCACATCAGCTGTGACAGGAGTTGTCTGTGCTATAAATGTGCCCATAGCAGATATCTGAAGCTAGATGGATCCTAGTCTAAAAGTGGTGAAAAGAAATGTTTCTATAAACTCCTTGAAAGCAAGAAGTTGAAAGACTTCTCACTTTCAGTTATGGAAATAAGAAGCAACTCCACCAAATATAACAGACAGTTAATTTTATAAAATAATTGAAAATGGAAGTCCTGCCAAGATCTCTGTATTTTTTCATGTGTACAAATTCTGCAAAGGTGACATTGACATCAGTGCCATAGCTCAAGATGTGCTAGATTTGTGCTACACTGAGATTACAGTTTGGGAATTTAGTCCTGTATAATGAAAATTGAGAAAAAAAAAATAAATCAGCAGATGTAAACAGATCTAGCTCTACTGACCTTATAATGGAGGTATTGTTTACAGCAGCTGGGAATCTAGCCCATAGTTTGCTATGCAAAGTCATTATCTCATGTAGTTGGATTTATGCACACACTAATAAAACTCATTAATCTCTTCAGGTATCACTACAGGTTTTTTGTGAATGAGATATAATGTCATACAAATGTATGACCTCATAACTGCTGATGATACCTTTAAAAAAACTTCATCTTGTTATTCACAAATGCTTCTAATTATGGTAAAAGAATTATCTTGGTGCAAAGGAAATGGACACTGTCTCCAGTAGCTGTTGACAGCTTTTCTTGCAATGAAAGCAAGAAGAAAAATACACAGGGTTTTTCTTCTAAAGAGACAAACTTCAGAAACATGCAAACATCTACTACAGAACTAAATGTTTATTGGGAAATAACACTTCTATGTCTGCCATAACTCAAAGAATTTACTTGTAGTCCATTAAGTTAATGAGTCCGTGGTACTGTGAATGCTGCTTCTCTCTTCTCTATTGCCAGGCTTTTTTGTAGAATACCTATAAATACCCCCAGAATATAGTCTATCTTTCCTTCTTGGGGCAGTACATGTTTTAACAAATGTCCATGTCCAGATGTTTTATTTGTTATTATGTCAACCATTTTACTTCTCCACTTTATCTCGATTATCCTGGTTATTTCCCATTTTACCATCTCAAATACTTGGTTTTTATCCTTGGTCTGCAACACAAACAGCTTCTGGCACCAACGATTACTAGCCAGTCAGAGAAGGGGCAGCCTCTGCATTGCCAACCAAACTGCTGATGTTCTGCAAAGTACTTACCTGCTCTGTGACAGCCAGCATACACTTTTCCTTATGTCACACGTTTGTTTTCTCCTTAAAATAAGTTATTTCTTGCTGGTTTGCTGCTTTGCAATACTTGTTTTAGGGCAGAGTGCAGCATTTTGAGCAGCTTCAATCACAGCAGTGGATGACTGGTGTGTGTGCATTGCAAGTGTATTTCAGAAAAGTAGAATTAAATTACTTAGTATTAAATGCTATGGAGTTCTGCATTTGTTCTTAACAGAGTTGGACAAAGCTAACTTCTCCTACCCTGGCTCAAACCAGGACAGCCTTTTTGATACTCTAAGGGGTCTTCAATACAGAAAGTCTCTCTTGTAGTACATTACTCCAAGTTAAGGTAGATTTATGATGAACAAGCAGTGAAACATTAGATACTCTGTATTCACATTGTCCACTGGGTAGCTTTCTGCAAACTGCTTTTTTCTTGTTAATCTTTCTTTTCATTGTAACTTACTTTGAATCCCCCTGCTCACAATACTGGTATGAGTTGATGCATTGGGAGCTCATTCCCAATCAATCACAGTTAACCCCACCTCTCTGGTTTATCTCCCAAAAACTTTCTGGTGTTTTATATCCTGCAGGTTTTGCTTTTACTTTAACTTAAGGATGCTTAGATTTGCTAGAGGAATGTACTTCTATCTTCAATAGTGAGATATTGGTTGCATGCATCTGCTGTCTAGTTAAAAATAAAAATACACAGAAGAAAAAAATATGTCAAGAGTAAAGTTTTTAAAGAAAAGTGACCCAGATATTTATGGTCAATCTTTCAAAGCTGCCTGCAGGTACACAAGATGTCTAAAGATATCAATGCTGTCTCTAAATCCTGTCCTTAGGCACAACAATTGCAGTAACAAAACCCAACATACCTTCACATGTGAGTAGGAAGTATTCCAGGTTGTGACTGAAGGATGCACTGAAGTAAGTACAGTTCTCAATCAGATCACAGGACAGACACTGCCTGTTGTAGTTCCCGTTCGTGTTTGCACTGAAAAAGTTAATAAAAGCCCATGAAGGTCACAGGGAAAATGTTGTCTGGAAGTGACATTACTTGAAGCTTACTGTACTGTAGAATAAAAGCATAAATACAAGGTGTGCAACATTAGTAAGAGACAAAGTATTTCCATTTGGCTGAGTTTCAATAGCAGTAGAATATATAAAAGGATACTGATGTCTTCAGTTGCAAGGTCAGGTGGTTATGAAGGAAGGTACAGTTTTTAAAAGAAAATGATGGTTGCAGTTGCACAAGAGGAAGTCATAATTCAGTGAAAGAAGGCCTGAAACAATGGAGCAGTGTTTTGACACCTGCTTTTACTACAACAGACAATAAAGAGTTGGAATTGCTTTCTGTAAGTTTCATACTGGTTGCCACACTGGTCTGATATGCTAGCAGCTGCCTCAGAGGTCAAAGTCCTTTTTGGGGGGTTAAATAGTAGCTCTCATAACATCTAAGTAGAAAGGAAAGACTGTATTTGGGGATCTATTTTTGAAGAAGGTATTATGGCCTTTCCACATCCTGAGATGAGCTTTTTAGGAGTCTACCACACATTGAGGAATGAATTACATATTATTTGCAATTATTAATACATAACATTTTGCACTGCTATAGCATTTTGAGTGTTCAAAATACTTCAAGAATACTAGCTATTAGGTGTTTGCAGCATTACTGTAAAGCAGATGAGTACTTTTTGCTACCATTTCAAGGCAGAGATCATCATCATCATCATCATCATCATCATCATCATCATCATCATCATCATCATCATCATCATCATCATCATCATCATCATCATCATCATCATCATCATCATCATCATCATCATCATCATCATCATCATCATCATCATCATCATCATCATCATCATCATCATCATCATCATTGAATGGTTGGAGTCGGAAGGGACCCTAAAGATCATCTAGTTCCAACTCCCCTTCATGGGCAGAGACACCTCCCACTAGATCAGGTTGCTCAGGGCCCCATCCAACCTGGCCTTGAACACTCCCAGGGATCGGGCTTCCATAACTACCCTGGGCAACCTGTTCCGTCTCACCACCTTCACACTAAAGAATTTTCTCCTAATGTCTAACGTAAATCTCCCCACTTCCAGTTTTGATCCATTACTCCTCATCCTCTTACTACAAGCTGTCAGAGCTTCAATGGTGTTCTGTCAATGAAGGTGTGCCAAGATTGCTGAAGAGCTGACACTCTTGGGCTGGGACAAGACACAAACTACCCCGCACAAAGAAAATACCTGAAGTGAGGCCAAGATCACTGTATAATCAAAGTAAGGTCAAGGAGGTTGACATTTTTGGCACCTCTTTTCCCTATGCGGGAAGGTGAGGTTAATGAGGCACCAGGATGAGCTGCATGCCAAGACAAGTGAGGTGTGGGAAGCTCTGATTTATGCCAGCAGCTCTTGAGCAGCTGGGCCTGGACTCAGCTTTGAAAATGAGATTCTATTCCTGTTTCAATAGAAATGAAAGGTCAATATAGTTTTGATTGGGTTTTTTTCTTCAAGAAAATAAACACTGAGCTGAGCTACTCTCAGAAAACTATGGAGTGAAGTGAGCAGGCATAGAAGTCTTGAAAGGAAAAAAATAATCAATTGCAGGTAATTTAGTTTACTCTAGTTTCCCTCCCATTGAGGAAAGAAATGTATGACATTATTTTTGGAAGGAAAATGCACTGAGTGTCCCTTAACAACTGATGTTATCACCAGCTCTGCCTTTCATTGCAGGTACTAAGATGACAGCAGGGTGATTGAAAAGAAAACCAGGACAAATAGAATAATGATCCCAAAATGTTTATTTAAAAGTTTGGGTTTCCTCCCCTTTGTAATCTGCTCCCACTATACTTTGTAACAGCTACACTACCCGTATCTTCCAATAAAGCAGCCTTTACTCATACAGCTAGGGAGGGTACTAAAGTCATCTGGAGTTGCAGAAAAGCATTTGCAAACATAACATGGTTTTTCTTTTCAATTTCCTGAAGAGGTGAGGTGTTATCAAATTTTCATGGAAACTCTTTCATGGAAAGAGTTTATACCCTTAGTTTATGTAATTCTGAGTTATTTTAAGTGTTACCCAGTCTTCTGGAAAGTCTTGTGACAGTTTATCAATCTTGAGACCAATTTAAAATTTGCCATAAAATGAGGAAATTGTTAAAGATAACACTTTTCCAAATGTCAAGCATTTTGTTCTCTATTGTGCTGCTTTGTCTGTCCCAGTGACAGATCACAAGATCAGTGCAATTACAGACAAACTCATAAGAAGCTGTTTCTATTTCAATCACTCATGTAATGATTCAAGTAAGATTGAAAAATTGTTCAGATCTGTATGAGAAATCAGCAAAGCACATACCTGTATAAATGTCGCCTCCTTGGTAAATCTTCTGTGCTGTGGAAATAACTGGGGGGGAATCAAAAGGCAATTGTATCATTAGAAGGGTGTTTACAAGTATCTCATACATTATCATCTTCATTCACATTGCCATTTACCTCATCTTGTAAAGGCAAGGAAAGCTTAAACTTAATTAGAAAAATATACCAAGGGACACATCACTGCAGAGGCTCCAGCAAATCCGTCACAGGCTGCTCTGCAGTTAAACCAAGCATGGAAGTGTTTGAGTCCTAGACTGGTCATGTCAGCAGATCAAAAAGGATCCTTCAAACAGCTTCCCTTTTCCTCTAGAATCAGTTTTTACTACCTATTCTCTGCCCAAACAGATAGCTAACAGGGGTCTAACAATAAACCCACCAAATGTCCTCTTTGAAAAAAGGCATTGGACTTTCAGACAAGACAGTATGAAGTTGAAGAGTACTTCGTTGCCCCTTGTTCACTGCTGAGATTGTGGTGAACTCCTTTCCTAGCCAGACAGTGAAAGCCCTGTTGTGTGGTGACAGCTTCTGGGGGTAACAGAGGAGTGCTGCTGGAGGTGGGCAACCTCAGTCCAGCATGCAGGGTCCAGGCTGATCCCTCAGAAGCATTTCATGTGAATAATGACAGAGCACAGGAGCAACTGTGGCGTTTGTGGGGTGAGTAACACATCAGGCAGGATTTTCAGCACTGCTGGTCTCCAATAAGCTGCTGTTGCCCTGATGTACATTTTGATGGACGTATTGTGTGGGGTATTTTCTGCTTGACTGACCAGTTAAAATGCAAATTAGACTTTGGGGCTAGTTTGTTACTTTGCTCTGTCAAGTGCCAAAGACTCATCTCATATGGACTTTATTGGTCATCGAGGGCATTCAAAACATTGAAGAAGCATCTTCTTCTTAATGATCGTTCAACATTTATCATATTTCAGAGACTTTTTACTCAGTTGTTCAGTGACCTGAAGAAACTGAGAGGTGAGAGCCTTGTATCCACCTGAAACTTTGGCTGGAAAGGAATCTATTTGGCATTTGATTCCAGAAAGCCTTCCAAACATTTTCTTATATAATTTCTTGAAATGTGGTTTTAAAAGCAAGCATTTATAGCAGTTATTTTACAAGAATAAAGGAAAAGTGTGAAGAGGGTTTGGTTTATTTTGGTATAATAACTAAATACTTTTTTTCTAATGTATTAGTATTTTTGTGGGTCAATAAAGGATTCTTTCTAAAACTATCTAGATGATCAGTGAAAATAGAGTTTCTTCCTTCAGAGATTAATATCAGAAGTTGCAGCAGGAGAAATCAGTCATTTACAGAAATGTATTTAATAGTCATCCAAAGAGAGGTGTGAACTATACAGAGAAAATCAAAATAAGGCAAAATATATGTAAAGGCATGGGAGGCTAAGTAAAAATTGAGACAACTCCTGCTGTCTTATCTGTGCCTCCATGTGCTCATACATTTCAGATTTACACACAACACCTTTGTAACTAACCCTATAGTCCTGGGCTAGGTAAAGGAAGACTTTGTTACTTACATTTTATGCCTTTTCTCATCATATGCCAATATCTTTGTCACATCCCAATCACCAGATGTAATAGACTTTAAGTTGTCACTGCTGCTGTTGGGCTGCCAGAAAGGAAAGAAGACTTCTTTATTCTTAAAAGAAGACATCTGAGCAAAGCTTCTCTTCTGAAAAAGGGAGTTCTTTTGACTCCATTGCCTATTAAAAAAAACCCCTGCATCTGCAATTTCCTACACCTCCCTCTCCCCACCCCCCTCTTTTTTTTTTCCAGGCATAGAAATATAATAGGGAGTCAGGATCATCTTAACCATAACTCCACTGGAGATAATGGGATGAATTCAGCACAGAAAAGCTTCAAACCCCTTCCTCTAATCCATCATGCCCACAAGCTTCTGATTAATCCTTAATGGCAGTGCATGGATTTACTTATTTACATATAAGGAAGGCTTTGAAAAACAAAAGCAAAGCAATTATATTGTTTGGGAAGAGACAGCTGACTTTTTTCTAACAAGTATCTCATTTGGAAATTCATGTTATTCTATGCCCAGTAAACCATCATCAAAGGTTTTCCTTCATTTCCATGACCCACATTCTGCTTTTGCACCTTCCATTCTCACCAGTACAAGCACAGATAGGACTTTTTACTGCTTTCTGCTTTAGGTGAGACCCAAAGCAGCAGCAGTGAGTGAGTCACCTGTGACGATGACATAGCGATGTGGTAGAACTTCCCGCGTCCTCCCTGGGGAATGGCTCGGACAAAGAAAAACTTCCGGCCATCCTTGGAAAAAATTGGCTCTTCATTCTGTAAACAGCAAATTTAAGGACCATGTTACCATTCATTTGTTGTATTTTAAATGGCTCAGTGCTGGCAAGCCCCTGTGAAATTAACTGCCAGTGAAACAGAGAGTTGCCCTTTAACAGTAACCTGAGGCAAACAAAAAGCTCTCTGAAAAGTGGAGGAAGTTTTGAAGGTTAGTGCTTCTTGCTCTGGGGGAAGCAGACACCTTCCAGCTGTGGGAAGGCAGGGAGACAGGCAGCAAGGAGGGGTCCTTGGCTAAAAAGTCAATTCCCATTTGCAAAGCAAAAAATACACATACACAGCTTGGGGCAGTTGGAATAAAGCCTTTAGAAATGGTTTGAATCTGGCTGGCACAAGTATGACAAATCCTGTTTACTGTGCTGGAAGAACTGATCTATTCCTACCCTAGAAAAACACAACTAACAGCATCTATCTGCTGTCTTTTGCTACTCTCTTACAAATGCTTATTTCACTGAATTATTTACAAAGGGGAGGATATATTGCAAAACTGTCTTTGACACAGAGTTCCCAGGTGAATGCGATGATTGACTTTCATTGGGTGACTAGAACTTTCAACCAGAGATAGAAGAGACTTAGCAGGAAGAAATCAGACACCCCATATGGTGAGCAAGCATTTCCTGGAAGGGTCTGTGTCTTCTTTTTGTACAGGAGCCCCGAGGCACATGAGAAGTCTCCACTGCAGGAGATGGTTGAACAGCATATTACAAAGGAAAGCAGAAGGATGGTCCATATGGTGTGACGCAGTAGTGCTGCACCAAGGGAACTGGCTAGTCTACTCTGTATCTTGAATAGTTGGGACTAAAACAAGAGCTGAAACTCTGCTGA